GACGATTTTCTTCCACAAACCTCATACTCGAAGTAATCATACAGTTTTAAATCCCTACTTTCGTTTAGCAACTATGGTTAGAAGGAAAATTGCGATAGCAACCTACCATCGTCCCAAATAATTAAAACCTCCCATTTTTTTCTAATTTCATTGTGAGTCTAGTATTTATTTTATAATATTAATAAAAGTGTGAAACTATTTAATCTCACCATGCTATGCTCACGAATGATAAACTAACTGTCGACACATTTTTTAACGAATTTAGGGGGCAAAGTCACCTCTTTCATTAAGCTCTACTCAAACATGGTCATGACGTTATTCACCAAATTTGGAGTTAAGCATGACTCCATTGCAAGTTCCAGTGTCTGTTCATAGAAGCTACCGTCAAAAGATAACTAAGTACTATTCATGGACAGGTTATGGAGCCTTAGAATGAGGACAGCACTCAAGCTCATTCCAGAGCGGGCACTGGATGGCACTCAGCCGTTGTCTCTTCTTTATGAAAGTTCAGATTAAACGAAAGTCTGAGGCAATGGATATGTAACATCAGGTGAGTACAGTTTCGGAGTGTAAATGGAGTTCGATGAATCTCGTGAGACAACATTATTTGCGAGACCTGCCTTTCGTGTGAAAGCGCATAAAAAAAAGATTCCAAAGTCGATCTGACCAGAAGAGGACGGATGAATCGCGTCGTACTGCAGCCATTTCGCTTCAATAAGACGTTCTTGTCGACGCAGTCCACGAGACCTTTTCCATCGTTTTGGCTGAACACGGACTGAACTTTCGTTCATCATCGGAACTGGAAGTCATGCTTGTAAAAGTCTCACCTTAACACGCGGTCAAGAAGACTCTTTGGTTCTATCTTACCTCTAATATATACTCATAATCAAAAACGAAAATGAATAGGTAGAAATTGATATAGAATGATTTGGCCAGTTATCTTCATATTGGTCATGCCACTTTTGCTCGTTTTTCGTATGTAAATATTGTTTCGACACTACCAGTAAATCAGTAATATGAGATGTCTTCAGCCTATTTCGTTTAAGATGATGAAGGACTAATAGAAGTAGTTACTCACAATGATATGAGTAGAGCTGACGTTTCCATTGAATTTCACATAGCCTTGCTTTCATAAAAGTTGGAGTGGACTGCAGTTTCGACCTCGTCTCGGTCTTATTAACACCCCCAGTGGGACTCGAACCGTGACAATGCACAATGTCAGTTTTACACATTAACGCCCCGGTCACAGTGTCACGAGTGTTCTTGGGTCACGGGACAGGTGTGAATTTCGAAAAAGGCCAGGCCCTTTTCGCATATCACATTCTTTGGTTGGATTGCCGATGAAGCAAAAGTATTTTTGATATAAAAATCGACTATATTACTTATTTTTCGTATGTAAGTAGAGTCTCGAGACTACCAGTAAATCAATTAGTATGAGATGTATTCCCTCTATTTCGTTCATCACCTTACACGAAATAGGGTGAATACATCTCATATTACTTTTGCTCGACCCATATTTACGAGGTACGAAGAGAAACTTGGTTTCGATGAATCTCCTGAGATAACATTGTTAGGGGGACATTCATTTCGAATGA